TAAGATTTTGACGACGTGTGCAAACAAATAGATGCTGCATACCAGTCGCAGCTGTCACCATTACCAGTAAGCCCAAATGAAATTCCAAAAGAAATCATGAACTTTATGCCCTTTTCATTACTTATAACAGATCACAAGCTTACCAGAGCTACAGTATTAGGACTAAGGAAAGTCTTTCGCTTTGGAAAACTCCCTAACAACTATTTTGAAAACCCTTTAGAAGAACTCCCTGACAATCCCAAGCAGCTGAGGGCAGAAGTAAAAGATCTTTTTCCAATAACTGACCATTCCAGATTACCTTTCCTAGCTGAATACAGGAAAAAGCTCATAAAATTCTATAACATAGAGAGAATGCCACCTCTATACTTTAACCTTCCACCAGCTAAACCTAAGCTACCTTCAACTCCTCAAGAGCTAAACTCCGCAATTAGAGCATGGTTTCCATGCAACCCAGTAGATGATACCGAATTTTGCCATTATATTGAAATACTTAGAGAACACTACAGTTTCAGAAAAGTACCAACTGACTACTTCATACAAAAAAAACTACTACCTGTAGATCTTCTACAGGTCAAAGTAGAAGAAACTTACAGTTTCCCGATTACTGATACCTCCAAAGCCAAAGAATTTGTATCTGAAATACATGCAAACTACAAATATACAATCCCACTACCTATGCAATATATGACGGCCAATTCAACAGAGAAACCTAACTTACCTGAAGAATACGAGAATGTGACTCTTGTCAATTTTACAGTTCCAATTACATCTCCCAAACAACTCGTAGATACTGCAAGAGACCTGAGAGAGTTCTATTTCTTTAGACAAATACCCAAAAGTTGGATAGAAATAATCCCAGGGGCCAATGCAGAACCTGGGGTCCCAAAATTACCAGCAACAGTCGAGGAGATAATAAGCCATCTAGAACACAAAGACAAACCACCCTCATTGGCACTACCTATCACGGAACAAAATGAAGTAGAGCGAACTGTAGGTTTCCTCAAAGAGCACTTCAATTTCAAAGGTATACCTGCTCACATCATCAATACCCCCGACTTACCTGAACCCCAATGGGATATCTTTAGTAACTATGCTCCTCAACAATAAACACTAAACAACCTAAACAAGGTTCACGGCCTAACCAAAGTACTACTTCAATAAACAACTCTTCTACAAACATCTCTCTAGCAAATGGAATATCAAATATAGCAATAGACAAATATTTAAGAATAGCTACCCACAATGTGCAAGGTCTAACCTGCAATATCAAATTTCAACTTTTTCTAAAACACTGTGTAAAGAGCAAACATCACATCATATCTATGACTGAAACGAAACTAAAAAATCAAAATACAATTGCTCTCTCGAATCCTTTATACAAAATTTATACATCAAATCACATACCTACTAAATCTGCACTACAGGAAGCTAGCCTGGGAACTGCAATTGCAGTTCTTCCCCAACTTCAACCCTACATTCATAATATTCAAACTTGCCCCAGAACTGCTATCTGTATAGATTTCTTTCTTCCTGCAAATACAAAACTCCGGATCATATCTACTTATCTACCTTCAAACCATCTTTCACTCAAAAGAAGTACACATAATCAGATATCAAACTGGGTCCTTGAAGCCAGAGCAAAAAAATGGAATACTATAGTTCTAGGAGATTTTAATGAAGATTTAAACAGAGTTTCAAGACGTGACTCAATACTTCATATACTTAGCTCTTCATCTCTCAGCAGTTTACTAAATTTTTACTCAGTTACAACACCGACCTGGTCACGAGGTACATCCCATAGCCAAATAGATGACATATGGATCAACACAGAACAGATTTTAGCCCTTGAAGCTCCAACTCTAACTGATCCTACTAGGATAACCGAGAGCGACCATCGTATTATCTTCACAACCTGGTCAACCAAAATTAACCTTGAGAAAAGAAGAATTAAAAAGAAAAAATGAAAAGTATATCTATTTAATCAGATGATGACAGAAAAATGGGAAAGCTTCAATGAGAAAGTAGAAAAAGGGATTCAAGGAAGTCGTAATACCACCAAATACAATATCCAGGATCAACTCACACTTAACAAATACTGGAACTCTTTAGCTAATATCATATTATCAGCAGCTAAAGATACAATACCTATAGCCTATACGGGACTCCGCATCTTCCATGCACACTCTCTCGAAGCTACTAAACTACATACGGCCCTGAAAAGCATAAATGGAGCAATAAATTTACTAAAAAACATTTCCATTTCAACGTCGATTGAATTTCTAACACACAAGCTTAACGAAAAGATTAAAGAAGCTTCATGTCGACTACCAGAACCTCTAGCACTATTAAATGAAAATGAAGCCCATCTCTTAGGCAAAACACTAAAGACACTTCAGGAATCAGCAAGAGAAGTAAGGCACTTACGGCGAACAGAAGCTGAACAAGCCCAAAAGGTGAAGATCCAATATCATATTGAACAAAGATACCGCAATATGGAACAAAACACCTCCCGAATGATCGACAGTATCCTCAAACGCCACTTAAATAGAATAAGTTTTGAGAAAGTAATAACCCCAGAAACAGTTATTACAAATCCACAGGAAATTAAAAGCGCTGTCAAAGAACATTTTCAAAACTGGACCAAGACAAACCCAACGAATGACCTACTAAGAGTCGAATGGGAGCAAGCATACCAACCCCTAGACAAAGCAAGAAAACAAATCTATGACGATCTCTTAAAGCAAATAACTTTTGAGAAACTAGACAAAACAATAAAGCAAGCACCCACTAAAAAAGCCCCTGGACCCACAGGGATCTCAAATGAAATGCTTTTACATTTAAATAAAGCCAACAAAGAGAGTCTACTTATTTTATTCAATGCCTGCCTAAAACTAGAAACAACACCTAGAGAATGGGCAAAATCAAATATCTGGCTGATATCCAAACAAGCTACATACAACAACGAGCTTCGTTACACTAGACCCATCACACTCATTGAACATATACGAAAAATCTTCACCAAAATATTAACTCAAAGACTCAATTCAATTCTATCAAAAAATGAAATCTTATCACCGAACAATAATGTGGCTTTGCCAAACACTTCTACACTTGACCCCATTCTAACAATATCACACATACTCGAAGATAGTAAAACATACAACAAAACTTACTGGATCCTGGCCCAAGATATGTCAAAGGCCTATGATACAGTACATCTTCCTCTCTTAAGAATGGCTCTAAAAAGAATCAAAGTTCCCCAAGCCATGATCAATATTCTGAGCTCTATCTTTGAGGCACGACAAAATCAAGTAATCACCAATTTAGGTCTAACCAGTCTCTACCAAGTCGAAGATGGTATCGACCAAGGAGAAACGATATCTCCCATTCTATGGCGGATCTATTATGATCCGCTAATAACAAAAGTCAGCAGCCAGATCAAAGGCTATACAATTCAAGTGATGACTTCACTTCGGGCAGTAGAATTCAACTCCTCCGTAACAGCATTTATGGACGATACAGTTTGGATAGCCAAGAGCAAAAGTGAACTCCAACAGATCCTACAGATTACCAAGTCTTTTATGCAATATGCAAACATCAAAGTCAATCCAAACAAGTCAGTTCTGTTAACTAACGACAATACAGACGATGCTGCAATAGACTTTATGAGAACAACAATTCTAAATTTACCTCAAGACCACTTTCTGACATTTAGGAGCCTATTTCTCTAGAGATAAAACCCTAAGTCCAATACAAAAACAGGTTGTCAATGAGATCAAAAGTAGCACAAATAAGTTAAAGCTAGCGAGAATTACACCAAAACAAGCAATATATGTAATCAACAATGTTATACTAGCCCGGACAGCATATCAGCTACAAAGTACATTCCTTAATAAGACCCAATGCATCCGAATCACCAATTTTTACACCAACATAGTGAAACAAAAAGCAAAATTTGCTAGATCGATACCCAATTCAACAATACATCAGCCTGATATCTATGCTCTCAAAACACTCTGGCAACTACAACAGCAGCAAAGTACACAAATATTAGACAGAGCAATCAATGCAAACAATTTTACCAAATCATCACTAAAAATAAGACTGCAACAGCTACAAAATGATGCAAATACAAATACATCAATCCTTATTGAACAACCAACCTTTTCAACAAGTGAGAACCGAACTCATACAGCCTTCCTAATCAATACACTGCACGATTTAAACCTACAGCTCACAAGAAGCCACAACGTTTGGCCAATACCACAGAAAGTAATTGAAACATCAATTAATATAATTATTAATCAATGCAAGCATAAGCAAAAGTTAAAGAAAAGACTTAATACCCACAGGATAGGTTACATCGAACAATTTCTAGATATACATAATAACCAACTGATAAGTTGGAAAGAATTTCACCATAATATAAACAAAATTCCTAGAGGAAGGAAACCCAAATGGTTCGATGAGATGCACGAGTTAATCAGAGGAAACACAAACGCGTCAACCGAACTAATATACCCAAATCCTTTTATCATCCACAATCGGCCATCCTCTAAATCATCCTGGATAATTACCTCTACTAAACAAGTTGGAAAGATAACAAGCATCAAAGAGAATGATGCAATAATTCAACACTACAAAATCAACTACAACAATGGGTCTCTGTCAAAATGCGAAGGTTGCATACAAAATGAAAAGCAATTGAGAAGAGCTAACTGTACCTTCAGACATAGAATAAACCTGACTACAGCAATAATGATCGATTCTAAACTAAAAATCTATGCCCATATCCCAAGCCTCTTCACAAAGACGATAGCTCAACCCAGTATAGCAACCCCAAAACAAACCCTCACACCAACTTTCAAATATCGAACGAGCTACCGATTTTCACAAATTTTCGCAGATAAACAAAACAAGATATGAGAGCTATTTGAACAAACAAACTTCAACAGACAAACCTTCCTACAAATCTCCATAGGGAGTAAAAAACAAAATGGCTATGACAGGCCAATAGCCACAGTAGACTTTGAAAATCCCAAGCTAATATGGAAGATATCAAACAAAAATTGGCCATCACAAATACTAGCAATACTTACATCTTTGCTCGTCATATTTATAACTATTCCTGCAAAATCCACGCTTCAAGTAGATACAAAAATCAAATGGCTACAAGAATATGTAGAAGAAACCAAAAACATGACAATATTAGACAAGGGCCGAAAATCGAACTACAATTGGGTATACCAAGCGATCCAAGCAATACTTATGGCCAAAGAAATCAAGATACTCATCGATACACGACCCAACGAAAAAAAACAATATAACAAAATAATGAAACCAGTGCAGTCCTTGGAACTAAGCCTCGACCCAGGCCCAATCATACAATCCAAGTTCATACCGCAAGTTCTAGATACCCCGAGCACTTACTCGATACACAACCTAACAAAGATCATTATCAAAAATAAGCTAAGAACAAAATGGGCATACCAAAATCGCATCTACAATATAAACAAAAACCAAACAAAATTGTTATGGGTAAAAACTTTTGAACAAATAAGCTACAACTGTAAACTGCTCGACAGGAAAACAAGTCAGGCTCAGGCAAATTTAAAAGCTTTCAAGGTTAAACTAATCACTGAAGAAGTACCTACTCAACTAAAGCTTCATCAAAGAAATGCGAAACAATATCCTAGCCCAATATGTAAACGATGTAATATGGCTTCTAAAGACTTTTAATATGTTATCACTTGCCCTCAGAACGAGATGACGATAAATGAAATTCTACTCGAAGTGTTGAATAAAATAAGCAGGAAAAAAGAATTAACACTCTTAGATCCAAATAGCTTCATAGAAAAATTTTACGACCTGTACATTACTCAGAGCATACCACTTGGCATAATTCATGAGGATACGCTCCCACCATTCTCCTCTCGAGGAACCAGTACGGCATTTGCCCCCAAGGTATATCATTCAATAATTAAACTAATCTATGAGAAGATTTGGAAACCCAGCAAAACAAGCACAAATAACACTCAACCAAGACCACATTCGACTCTTCCCTCAAACAATAGTGAGCATGCAGATCACACTCCCGAACCTAGTTAACTACCTTGATCAAATTCGCTAGCTAATTATAATTATAAACAAATGAATTACATAGTCTAGAGGTCTTGACCCTTCTAGCTAAGAATGGGTCATGAGTAAATTTTAGTTTAGAAATAAATTAGATAGCTCTAACCTCCTTTCCCTAAAACGAATATGCTTTCTTACTATAATGTAATATATCATATTTATAATAAAGTGAACAGAGAAAAGACCTCTCTTAAAAAAAAAAAAAAAAAAAAATATAGGAGTAGCCTGTTTAAGAGGGTTCTAATCATAGTTAGGTACCCAAAAGGAGCCTCGAATAATAAGGCAAAGCTTTATAGTCAAGATATATTAAAAAGTTGCAATTTAGTATATAATTTTTTAGCCTTGTATAGTTTTCTTTTTCTATTTGTTTATTAGAACTATTTGTCTTTTTTTTTGCTTTTTTCATCTTATTCTTTTTATAATAAGATTTTTTTTAGAATATTTAGCTTGTTTCTTTTTGTTTTTTTGTTTTTTTTTTCTTTTTGTACTTCCTATTACTCTTTTAAAATTTCTTTCTGTTATAAATTTGGTATATACTTTTTTTTTTTATACAAATATAAGAGATAAGAGCAGTGTTATTTATTATCTAATTTTTTTTTATCAGAGGCATACCCCCTCTCCCCCTTTTTATTATATATTTGATCAGGTCTTCATATATAATTTTAACTTTTTTTACCCCCTCTTTCTCTAAAAAATCATCTGGTTTTTGTCACTCCTCTAAGCTATTCTGCTCAGACTTAAATAAAAAAGGTTTTAAAAGGAGATAAGCAGTTTTAACAAAATATACAACAGTCTACCAATGATTAAAAAGAGTATCAATATGTGTTACCAAATCTTTAGCAAGTTAAGGATCTTGTAAGAGGTTAATAGTTGTTTTAGCAGGTCATATTAAGTTATTACCTAGTAAGTTTTTATTAGATTAGAACATTACATTTTACAAATTTGGTTATATAAAGTTTTTATAGTAGTTCACATAAATAAAACCACTTAAAAAAAAAAAAAAAAAAAAAGTGACAAATTTTTTTAAGTAAAAGTTTTCATAACTTTAAACTTAAATATTTTAGCAATTATTTTATAATTTTTTTTTATTTTAATTTTATATAATTTCAAAATTAAAATAAAAAAAATTTAGCAAATCTGATTAATTAGTTGTTGAGATATTTTAATTTAAAAATTAAAAAAATTGTACTAAAAATAATTTGTTCCTTTTCTATTGACTTTACCTCATATATTGCTTTATTAAAAGTTACTTTTTATTGTATTAAAATTTTTATATCTAATAATCTAAATACAACTTTAAATTATTGTCATACAAATAATATTGTATATTATGAAGTATTTTTAAATATATAATATATATAAAATTTACAAGTTTACTATTTATTACTACTAATAATTATAATTAGTATTGCTATATCTTAATAATATACTAAGTAAATAAAATTAGATATTTTAAGTAAAAATATTTAAAATACCAAAAATCTTATAAGAACTAAAATTGTAATTTTATATTTAATTTAAATTATATTATATAAAAAAAAATTTTTAGTTTTTAGTTCTACCTCTAGAAATTCTTAAAACTAGTAATAATTACTACTAGATAATATATAGTAATTTTCTAAAATTAAATAGTTTTTTTGTATTTTATATTTTTTTTATAAACTTTTTTTTAAATTACAAAATAAAATTATATATATATATATATATTTTTTAATCTTAAGCAGTCTCACCAAAACTTTATTAAGTTTATTTGCTATACTAAATTACAAATTTTTTTTAATCTCTAAGTTTGACATTACTTAAAGAATTTTTAAATACAACCTGCTACACTAGCTCATATTATTATACAAAGCTAGAGGTTATATCAAACAGCCTAAGATACTAACTAGATGGGTTTAATCTTGTTATTTATAAACCTTTTTATATAGTCTCTTCACAAATTATCTATCTTTTTTTGCTTTTCAATTCTCTCTAACAAATCTGCTAGTTAAGTATTTGTTAGAATCTTATATTTTTTCTTCTATTTACGATTATGCTTTTGGTTTTTTTTTTTTTTTTTTTAAACAATATATATTTTTTTTTTTGCAATTTCCAATGTTTTTTTCTAGTCTAAAACAACTTTACATCTTGGCTTTTAAATATCTTCGTAAAAATAATTCCATACTGCTATAAAAAGAATCTTGAGCAAATATCTTGCTTTTGCTTTTGAATTACATTATATGGCTAACTTTTTCTCTGTCTCTTTCTTAATCAACCTTCTGATTAAATATGTTTTTGTATCTTTTATTTCTTCTTCTATATTTTTAAAAAGAACTTTATATACTTGTTTTTTTTATGATTTTTTTTTCTTTTCATTCTGTGTTAATTTCTTTATACAAGACTTTTAATATACTTTCTTCGATTAGTTTCTATTTAGATTTATATACATCACAACAAGCTAAATATTTTTGTGATTCTTCTTTTTTACTATTGTATAGTTTACACTTTGTGTTTAGGTAGAGGTCTGGATATCTTGCTGCCAAAATTTTAAGAACTGGAAGCTTCTCTTGAAAACTTTTGATAATTATGCAGAGTTTCTTGCTTTTGGTTAAAAAGTCATATTATATTCTATTTTGCTTACTAATTCTTTCTTATAGAAGAGCCTAGCTATACTTGCAGATCTAAGTTTCTGGTTCTAACTTTTTAAATAAATCTAAGCATTTTAGTTCTATATTAGTGATTGTATTTTGGATCAAGTTTAAAAAGAATCTTGCTAGAGTCTTAATTGTATATGTTCTCTATTTTAATACTGTGCTAAAATTTAGATAGGATATTGTTGTGATTTCTACTTTATTATTTGCTATAAGGTTTTTCTTTGCCAACAAGTCTGCTTTTCTGTTCTATTTATCTTCTGAGTAACTCTTTATCTTAACTAACTCTAATTCTATATCTTTTTTGATATCAAATTCGTACAATAGAATATTTAAATTTGTACAACAAAACATTTAAATTTGTACAACAGGACATTTAAATTTATACAATAGGACATTTAAATTCGTACAAAAGGATATTCAAATTTGGACATACAAAAACTGAAATATTTAGTAATCCAATTTTAATAATTTTGGTACTATTTGAATCATCTAATTGAGACAATTCAGATGATACCAAAATTATTAAAATTGAATCACTATATCACAAGATATTCCAGTTTTTATGTGTTCAAATTTGAATGTTCTTTTGTACAAATTTAAATATTCTATTGTATAAATTTAAATGTCTGTTATACAAATTTAAATATCTTATTGTATGAATTTAAATGTTCTATTGTATGAATTTGATGTCAAAAAGAATATTCTTAATATTAACTATATTCTTAATTTTATCTAAAATACTAAAGTTACCCAGAAGAGGTAGACAAACACAGTTTTCTAACACATAACCTGAGTACTGCTACTTCTTGCGGAACTGTGAGAGCCGGTATACGGTGAGCACCCTTGTAAAAGACAACTCAGAGGTGTCACTTTCAATATCCTCAAACTCCTGTGATCCCTCAACATGCTACAACAAATTCCTTCTATACTTCAACTTACCACTTCTCCCATCTCCCCAAACAATTAACTCATT